AAGAGCTTAAACCTCTAAACCAGATTATTGAGATTGTGATAGTATTACTCATCATGGCCCGGTAAAACGGTTTATAACAGCTATGGCACACAGCCAGGTCGTACATTGTGACCAACCAATACCCGTTTCAGTCAACTCTCGGGCATACGTAGTATAGTTGAACCTGTTCTACCCAGGACACCCCACTGGGCTCAGCTGGGGGAAAACCATAATGAGCGGAGATTGCATACACAAGTGCACAAGTCAGATAGCTAAACATATATTCAAATTAACGTTTGTTTCTCTTATGTTCCTGTTCTCTTAAATTCCTATACTATTAACTCACTCACTCACTCACTCACTCACTCACTCACTCACTCACTCACTCACTCACACAACCATAATCGTTTTCCCAATATGAAATTGATTTCAGATCAAGTTGGGTGCTAATTTCACAAAACGAAACATCACACACTAGGATATTGTCAAGGTAAGGTGAGCTACGAAAACGTCCACAACATACGCGCTTGTCACATATCTAAGTGCTTCTACCCGTTACATCGACAAGAAGATAACCTGGGCAATATCAACAGTGAGAAGAGTATTTATTTACTGCTCCAAGTGCTGTCAAGTAGGCAGACACACGCGAGTACATGCACTGTTTACAAACCAGGGGTGTAGGTGCAGATAAGTGGGGAATCTCCTGGCTAGACTTGAACAGGCTCTTACAGACTTCATCCAACAGCTATCCTCCTACACAACACAACCCGAGTCTATATCATCATATGAAATGCACAACCCGGCTCTATATCATCAGATGATATACACAACCCGAGTCTATATCATCAGATGATATGCAACTCGCGTCTTTATCATCAGATGATATGCACAACCCGAGTCTATATCATCAGATGATATGCACAACCCGAGTCTATATCATCAGATGATATGCACAGCCCGAGTCTATATCATCAGATGATATGCACAACCCGAGTCTATATCATCAAATGATATGCACAACCCGAGTCTATATCATCAGATGATATGCACAACCCGAGTCTATATCATCAAATGATATGCACAACCCGAGTCTATATCATCAGATGATATGCACTGCCCGAGTGTATATCATCAGATGATATATACAGGCCGAGTGTATATCATCAGTTGATAAGCACAACCCGAGTCTATATCATCAGATGATATGAACAACCCGAGTCTATATCATCAGATGATATGCACAACCCGAGTCTATATCATCAGATGATCTACACAGCCCTACTCTATATCATCAGATGATATGCACAAACCGAATTTATATCATCAGATGATATATACAGGCCGAGTCTATATCATAAGATGATATGCACAACCCGAGTCTATATCAACAGATGATATGCACAACCCGAGTCTATATCAATAGATGATATACACAACCCGAGTCTATATCAATAGATGATATACACAGCCCTACTCTATATCAACAGATGATATGCACAACCCGAGTCTATATCATTAGATGATATGCACAACCCGAGTCTATATCAATAGATGATATACACAGCCCTACTCTATATCAACAGATGATATGCACAACCCGAGTCTATATCATTAGATGATATGCACAAACCGAGTCTATATCATTAGATGATATGCACAACCCGAGTCTATATCATCAGATGATATGCACAACCCGAGTCTATATCAATCGGGTTGTCGTCAATACAATCCAAGACGTTTCTGCGTATCTGGGTCGTCGAAAATGCCACGCCATTTCTGCGTCTCTTCGTCGTCAGTAGAAACCACGCCCTTCCTACGTCTGTTAAGTTGATTAAACCACGCCCTTTCTGCGTCTGTTTAGTTGATAAAACCACGCCCTTCCTGCGTCTGTTTAGTTGATAAACCACGCCTTTTCTGCGTCTGTTTAGTTGATAAAACCACGCCCTTTCTGCGTCTGTTTAGTTGATAAAACCACGCCCTTTCTGCGTCTGTTTAGTTGATAAAACCACGCCCTTTCTACGTCTGTTAAGTTGATAAAACCACGCCGTTTCTGCTTCTGTTTAGTTGATAAAACCACGCCCTACCTGCGTCTGTTAAGTTGATAAAACCACGCCCTTTCTGCGTCTGTTTAGTTGATAAAACCACGCCCTTTCTGCTTCTGTTTAGTTGATAAAACCACGCCCTTTCTGCGTCACTCTTTCGTCAATAAAACCACGCTCTTGCTGCTTCTGCGTTCCATAAACAAAGCAACACTTTTGCTTTAGAAGTAGTAATAGTAGTAAGGATGGTTGTGGTAGACGTAGTAGTAGTAGTAGTAGTAGTAGTAGTAGTAGTAGTAGTGGTAGTAGTAGTAGTAGTAGTAGTAGCGTTGGCGGCGGCGGTGGTGGTGGTGGTGGTGGTGGTGGTGATGGTGGTAGTAGTAGTAGTAGTAGTAGGTGTGATGGTTTAGATCTTTACAAGGTAGAACATCCGTGGACATATTACTAAATTTAGTATATTCGTAAAACGTAGGCTTACTGAATGTTGTTGAATGCATTCAAAAGCATTTTAGTGTCCGGTCAATATACAATGGTTAAAGTCGCAACATTAACTGGGGTGAGTTAGTGAGTATGGTTCTACGCCGCCTTTTGCAATACTTCAGCGATATAACGGCGATATAACGCTTTAACCACAAGGCTACCCTGCCGCCTCTGTAACATTACTGAAAAACATATAATTATATCAGATTCTTAAGAATCCATATTCCGATACTACCTCGACATGACATGACAGACGTACAAGGCCAGGTTGTGTGGACTACATCATGAGTACTGAAACAAAAGAGCTTCTGGTGAGCAAGTAACGCACCGGATATACCTACTTCTGAGCATTCTATAGGACCATTCATTACCAAGGACACGGGTTAGAATTGGTCTTCAGCATCCCATGCTTGACGTAAGAGGCGACTAACGGGATCGCGTGATGAGGCTCGCTGACTTGGTTGATGCATGTCATCGTATCCCAACTCCGTCGATCAATGTTCATGATACCAATCACTGGATTGTCTGATCCAGACTCCATTATTTACAGACCGCCGTCATATAGCTGGAATAGTGCTAAGTTCGGCGTTAAACAACAAACAAACAAACAGATATCCAATGTAAATGAAAATCGTCTTTCACACAAACTCGGCATAGTATTAGGCAAAGGACACCTTTTTGCCAACATTATAAATAGACAAATTTGAAAACCCAAGACGAAATCTTGTCAAGGCGTATCGAAGTTTCTTCTTTGTTTTATTTGTTAAGTATTTTTCGGGCTTTAGTAAAGATCTAATAAATCTAAAGGTGTCGTATCTTGAACGTTTTGATCATTCTGAAACATTACAGTTGTGTCAGTATTTTTGGCCAGTAAGGATACCCTCCGTCGTCTCCGACCACGTATACTACTCAAGAGAAGACATGCCATGACAGAATAAGTGTAATATTATGAAACAATCGGGTGTTTTAATTTCTTTGAGTAGGATATAATAAAACTGGTCAGACAATAAAACCGCCCAGTGCTTATTGTAGTGGGCTCTTAGGCTCAGCTCGGGAGCGCCTCAACTTCCAGCGTAAGTGGAAAGGGTATAAATGGTATGTGTGTTCTAGATATTATCGTGGCTTAATGACTTACACAGAATACGTCTTGGCAGTAGAATGTTTTATTTTCATGGTTATAAAACTGCTGATGTGTCTTTCTGTTTTTTGGACGTCCCTACTGTTTAGTGAAACAAAGATTCTAGTAATGAATGCATCCACGGTTCACTAAACGTCGAGACCAAAACATGTTGTTTGTTAATGTGCTGACGAGGCGCCTCACACGGAGAGTGTGGGTTCGAATCCCGCATGGGATGACAAAAGGGTACAGGAATTTGTGCTTTACTAAGAAAGTGTAATCGCAAATATAACATTAGTTAAATTAGTTTCTTAAAGACATTGGGTATTCATGCTATTTATTGTAATGTGACATCATGATTCCCTCCGTCTGTAATCAAGCCTAACAATCAGGGGTTAACCCTCCCGAACATGAAACGTCAATTGGTTCATAGTAGATTAATCCTTGCGAAGCGTTAATTGAAGGTTGTATACTAAATACATGTACCAATCTTCAAGTAAATATCGTCGCTCCAGACTAGAGTCGACTAAAGTGATCGGGTGGTCAGGCTCGCTGACTTGATTGATGCATGTCATCGTATCCCAATTGCATGGATCGATGCTCATGATGTCAATCACTGGATTTTCAGGTCGAATATTTATAGACCGCCGTCATATAGCTGGAATATTGCTGAGTGCGGCGTTAAACAACAAACAAACAAACAAACAACAAAAACTATACGCGACAACTGAGTGTTTATTGAACGTTGTTCTGGTGTTGATGTCGTAATACACATTGTTTTTTATATGATATATAGGTTTGTGTCGGGGCCAAAACGTTTTGTCGGATTAAACAGAATCTACTGTAATACAAAAGGCCAAATATTAAGGTACGTACTATAAGCAAACACCTGTCTGATTCCTTTACCTATATACCTACCCCCTCCGCCGGTAGGCACCCGGTCCCCTACAGACACACTGATATGCTGTCCCTCCCCGGCCCCCTGAAACTCCAATCCCCCTTCCCCTAAACTCTCTCGGTCAAGAGGCTAACAGTACATCATGTTCAGAGTTAATTTGGGGGACAGGTTATGAGGTTTGCCCTGCTGTGCGTCGCCCATAAACGGTGTTGTGCCGCACGAGGGGCCTGCTCAAGTCTAGCAGCATGGGGAGAAGGGGAAGACGCGCTTCCCCCACTTCACATCTCAACGTCCCGAATCATGATGCATAGTATCAGGTAATTAGCGATGAAATCGATGTTTGGCTCGCAGTCCCTGTCTGTCAGCCACCGTCACTCAATCATATCCTGTCTTCCCATTGGCTGGATGCTGGATGGGCGGGCCAGCTTTATAAACCTCCCTCTAGGCGTATCTATGACATGGACGTCTCAGCATTACAAAAATAGCCTATGGAAGAAGCCTGAGCAGGTCAACTCAGTGTGCCGATTGCATTGCAGACGGTTATTTGATTCGAAAGCTAGTAGAGTTAGCTTACTCGTTACTCGCGGGGCTCCTTTGTGCGAACACGGGGTACATATTTACAAGTATTCGCCGATGTTTGCGACTATGCCTATGAGATGAGCGGCTGTAGGACGTGATATCAACTGTAGTGAGGATGAACTTAGAGTATAGAACCAACAAGCAAGGACTGGCCGGGTGCTAGCGTATGTATGAACTGTCGTCTGCTCGTGTCTCATTTCTGTGTTTACCTTCTGGTCCGGCGTCCCTCAACGAGAAGCGGTACCCAGAAGCTTCCCGTGGGGATGGGACTTGTGTCGGGAGGGGAAAGCGACCTTAGTGAAGCCCCGGGGAGGAGTCGACAACAACAACAACGTCAACAACAACACGACCCCGTGCCCGAGTAGACCAGGCCAGTGAGGAGGATGCATGTTTGGGACTTGTGTCTGCTGGCGATGTGTATCCAGACGAGTCACTGTATTTTCTCCAGTGGGGTGCCAGAGTTCTGCGACCAGGCCAGGAATCATTGTTTCTCCCGAATAGGCTGCCAGATGGCTCTGAACAACTTCATGATCGGGTGTAGCGACGTCATCAAAGGGACTGTGGACACATGTACTACTGACTGCAAGCATGCTCTTATCTCTCTCTTGTCCACGGAAGATCGGTCCGGAATCGCCTTCGTCAATTGTAACTGCAGTGACGACGAGTTTTGTGAAACCCAGAAGCGTCGAGTCGAGATCTGTGCTAAGGATGTGATGGAGTTTATGAACAATATCAACGACAACGCCGTTGTGAGTTGCGGCCTAGCAATGTGGATCTGTGAAGCTGACACTTCGTGTTTGGCAGCGTTGCAGTATTACATCCGCCACTGCGCCAAGCTGATGAATGGTGAAAGCTGCAGTGCACGGTGCAACAACAGTTTGGACATTCTGTACCGTCAGACCAGCTCCAAGATGCTGCAATCATGTGAGTGCGACGGCACCGAGGACTACAACTGTCAAACCCTGAAAGACAACACCGAGAGATTATGCTTCAACAGACAGCCACGAGTTGCTTACACGGTGTCGGGCAAGAGTGAAGTGACGTCTTCAGGTAGTAACAGCTTCAAGACCAACTCAGGTATTCTTCTCCTTGTTGTGAATATATCCCTCCTCTTGTACAGGGACGTGTTTCTCTTATATCGGAAGGCGTTTCTAAATCCCCAATGGTAACACCTGCTTCTCAGTCGGGTAATACAGACATCATAGTTGGTACTTAAAGAGCTGTTCCAACAGAGATGGTACAGGGTTGTGTGAAAAGAAAGAATGAGACCCGGCTGTGGATTTGGGGAGGATGTCTTGACATGGAATGCGGAAACGCCATGCAATACTACGTTCCGTGTTACGAGCAAGCCGGCAGCGGGAGAGAAGCTGTGATGGCGAATCTCCCACGGGAACTTGAAGGGAAGATATACGGAAGTGTGAATATATTCTCCCATATGGGTAACTAGTTCTTGGACGAGCAGGTGTTTTAGCTCCGACGAGGAGCAAGTGGGCTATTTTCCCAATCTGAATATGATTCTTGAGGCTGCCCACAAACCGTCAATTATTAGAGGATGTCCCAGGCTCCATGGTACATCCGATACGTACTAGATACACACGAGCCTGTACATTAAAACGTGATCTCGTTTAAAAAGCTTTGACACGTGAACTCAGCGTGAATATGTGTGGTGTGTGGACGGAGGACACGCGAGTGTCGGGCCCAAAACTGATGCCACAGATGTATTCCATTTGCCGAACACCATGCTGTGCATGTTTCCATACTAAACGTGAATGTGTGAATGTTGACGAACATATGACTCCCAAACGTCATGTTGCTATCTTCCATGTGGACTTGATTTCCTGAGAAATGTAATATTTCACGATTTCGTACTATAATCGAGAGACCATTTTTAAAGGAACAGGTGTCTCCAGGACAACTGATGGGCCAAAGTAGGTGTCCTGTTTTACCGCTCGTTGTTCCCGTGTTCTCAGAAACATGAAACCAGTTATCTGCCAGGCATCTCTTGACCGTTATGTTCAACAAACCGTGCTGCCTTTTGAAGCACTTCAAACGACTAGTAGGAAAGGTCCCGGCCTTTTCTAACGCTGATCATTTCTACACTGAGGAGGAGAACGAACATCCCTGACAGGTTCTGTGGCTGCCTGTGTTCGTCAGAGGACGGAGGACATATGGGGACATCTACATTCCATCTGGTACAGAATAGACTCTCGTCCTCACCTGTCCTCTGTAGACGACAGCGTTTCTCTACGTCAGCTACGACGCTACGTCGTCTCCCCACTAGCTCATCTCGACTGTGCTAAGATTGGAACGTTCATATCTACGTTGCAATCTGTCCAAACATATCGTTGTTTTGATGCCCCGGCTTCTCCTACAAGACAGCCATGGGTTTGTATTTCATTTTTTACGTTATCTGTGTCAGATTCAGTGTCTCACCTGAAGATGCTTTTATTCATGTGTCGTCTGCGCGATCTCTGTCAGTGGGGAGTAGCATTGAAATTGTTTGTTTGAAAATCGGCTAGTGCTAATATCCATCAGATTAACTTTGTATATGTAAGATATGAATAGACATGAATACAACTAGTTGCTTAATTCTCTCGATAATCCAAAGACAGTTGTCTCAAATACAATCCTTTGGGTAGAAAAGTGGACGGTTCACATAAACTACCGGGCAAAAGAAAGTATACCCTTGACAATTTTGACAAAAAATTTGCAAACGCTATAAAAAACATGACTGAAACAAGGCTGAAAGCAGTCACGGAAGCACTGCAAACTTAAGGTCCAACACAACTAACTATGATACCCGTGTCAAATACATTACCATCGAATAACCATTTCTTTTTTGTTTCAATTTTAGCCACCATTAAACGCGGGTGTGTACTTTCCTTTTCCCGGCAGATTACATGGATGCAATTATTTTGCAATCTCTTCAACGGAATACGTCTTTCCGTAGCATGGATTTCACATTGAAAATAATCACAACTAATCAAACGTTACTATCTCAAAATTCGTAGGATTATTTACAAATGACATCGCTTTTATTTTAAAATTATGTGAAAAATATTTTATATATAGTGCTGTTACTTTTGTAAAAATATCTAACTACATTTATATTATTCACACACCTAAAGCATTTGGGGGGGGGGGGGGGGGATGTTTTATTTTTTTTATTTTGTGGAATGGTACGATTTTCTTCGGTTTCAATATATAAACGTCGCATATATGCTACTTCAACATATTCGTAACAAATAAACGCCTGTTAATTTTGTTTGAATTCATAAAAAATGTCACAGAACAGCTGTGTAGGTGCAGATCAAACCATTCCCCCGGTACCTCAAGCTTTCTGGATCTAAATTATACCTTTATGTTATAGATGTTAGGAACATCAGTCCAACATGTCTAGATGGGATTAAAAACTCACAAATTAGTGGACATATTTGACATTATTTGAGCCAATCAGAGCTGGGGTAGGCGGTGTGGTTCAGGAGTCCGTAACAATCCCTAGAATAAAATGTTAAATTTACTTATATGTACTTACATAAATCCCTACAAAAGTCCCTTAAAAATACAGTATAGAGGGGAATCAGCATCCGAGGGCACACACGTCACACAATACAAATAGTGTTCAATGGGTGCTGTGTTAAAGGGCTATATGATGTCACTGATCGTTCACTCCATAGTCACGACTACGATAATATACTGTTCAGCGGGCACCAGGGATTGTATAGGCAATATTCCACACTGACAACAATGCCAGTCCTACGAGTGAAACCTGATGTATTCTGTTGTTTGACACCGGCGTTACCTCTGACAATCACAATCTTCATACAAGTTAGGAAAGGTTTGTAAGAAAGTAGATAATATGACTTAGTCATCTCTACAAGTTTGTGAAGGCCGTAGTGTATATTATTTATATACAACGACCGGTCAAAGATTAGCTGATGAACGGGATTCAAGTATACGGGTACCGGGTTATGCATGGGACGGGTGCGATAGTGAAGATAGATTTGTGAATTTGTTTTGTTTGGGGTTTTGTTTGGTTTTGTTGTTGTTGTTGTTGTTGTTGTTTAACGCCGCAATCAGCAATATTCCAGCTATATGACGGCGGTCTGTAATTTGAAATAGGTATGTTCTTGCAATACAATATGGTGAAGATGGGTCTTACCTTTTTCGTTATGTTTATACATGTATATAGATAACGTTTTTGTATCACCATTTCAAAGAAATTCATCACGGGTGATATTAAAAACTAACTAATTAGAATTGTAAATACTGAAATTATTTTCAGAGTTTAAATAACTTAAAGGACAACATAAATTGTAACTTGTATTAACTAATCAATCAATGTGGGAAGACAAGACAGTTTATAGGATTTTATATATTTTATGCTAAAAAAAGAACTAATTTTCAAATTTTAACACGAATTATTAGGCTTTCTATTAACAGCGTAATGAAAATTATTAACTAATCAATCAATGTGGGAAGACAAGACTGTTTATAGGATTTTATATATTTTATTCTAAAAAAAGAACTAATTTTCAAATTTTAACACGAATTATTAGGCTTTCTATTAACAGCTGAATGAAAATTATTTTGATAGTGTTGTTTAATACGGTTAAAGTTCGCTTGTTGACCCAGATAAGATCAACAAAAACATGCCGACATCAGAAAACCAGATGCCCTGCTCGTATCGCTGTCTATTTAAACATTTAACACCTTTCAGAGTCTTGATTAAATCCTCCCAGGGTTAATCCCGTGGTGATCATATATGCGCCGATTGATCCCCGCTTGAAGAAAGAGTATACGAGGTAGCATACCCTCCAGTGAGCCGCGAGATCCGGTGAGACACACGTTCCGTGGACGCAAGGGTGCAAACTGTTAACTTGTCTAAACGTTTTGACCAGGTTCAAAGACTATGTAAAGATTAGGGGTAACACAAGCTGAACATGACCAATTGGGCAGATATATGCGCGAACACGATCTCCTGTATGCTTAGACGTACTCGGTTTGGATAAGAGGCATGGTATTTTTTCCTATATAAATTTCCTCGTGTGTCGAGGCCGATAGGACATACTGCATTCCCAGACCAAGCACAGAGCGCCGTCATCACCCAACTTCGTCTGGGTTATCACAAAGGGGATATGGCGGAAAATGGGGACAATTTATGAGATGAAGAAATTTTAATTTTGATATAAATGTCAGAAAAGGTGATCGACGAGCCTTGTGGTGGAAGTGACGGTGTTGAGTTACGTGGGACTTTTTTGCCAATTAGGATATTTTTATCAACATAAACGCACGTAATTTTTCTTAGGTTATCTCAACGTTCATCGACTGGGTAATTATCTCTTTTATTCAATTTATTCTTCTGATAAATGCTGCAAGTTTCGCTAACTAAGATGATGCGTGTCCTTTAATTAAGCATTTGAATAGTAAGCCATACCAAAATGTATATTGAATGTACAGAAATATTTAAGTAGAATTTCTTACATGAAAACAGCCTAAATGTCGACAAAACATTACGAAGTAATCTGAAGATGTCAAACACTATAGAAAAAAATATTCCACCTCAAGAGTAAAAAACATACAGTACCAAACATTTAAGTCAGTTTTCTAAAATGTGAAAAGGCTATCGAACTATGACATCGCTTTGAGAAAAGAAAACTTTCACAAGCCTTAAAGGCACACGTACCAGTTTCACCTAGGGCAACTTTAAGATGTAATTGGTGAAACCTGAAACAGAATCATCTTTCAAACACTGAAGGCTATTTCGTAAGTAGAGAACAGTCCCTTGGTAGAATTATCACACGAATCAATTGCATATCTAGAGAATGTGTCGCGAACTATACTGGTGTGATATGGTAATACTGCAGCCAGCCCCGGTGACCTGACAGTGTAATCTGTCCATCAAGTGTCGCGAGGCGAGCAGTATCATACGGCCTGGCGCCACACCACATGTCAGAATAGGTTGACGAATTGTATCATAAAATGCGAGTCAGGGTCGCCCCTATTACGCGTGGGAGGGGCCAGCTAGGAACGGGTGTGTATTAGAGGGTGTGGAACTGTTGGATGGGATGGGGATTTACACGTCGTTTTCATTTCATTATTTGGTTGAAACACAAAATTTATATTAAGGGCATTTTTTTTCTTTATTCGTGAATAATGTAGATATAATAACGTAGGGTGAAAATGGATCTGACCAAAAAATTACAAACGTTATCAAAACATTATAAGTCTGAAAAACAGTCACCGAAACACTCCAAAACACAACTATGATACCCGTATCAAATACATCACCATCGAATAACCATTACTTGTTTGTTTCACTTTTAGCCACGATCAAAGATGGGTGTGTATTTCCTCTGCCCGGCAGTTTAGCTGCGTTTTCATGAATATGATTCTTAAGTTGTGACATAAAGATTACCCTGTGAACGCATAGCCACAGCCATTGACAGTCCTTGTAACACATTATTACGTCTCTGAACACCTTTTAAAAACCCTGGTACCCACATGCAGGTGTGTCCCTGTTGTTAGTACCCCCAATGAGGAACGTACACGGTTTCCAAGCGCCGAAATAGCTTTTTGTCATTTTAAGACAATCAGTCGTCCTCTAAATTTATCATCAACCGTAAGTGCTTTTACGTGTAGCAGGTTGAGAATGATTTTTTTTTGCCTGATTCGAGTTCCAGGTCTGCCGTGGCAAATGGTTGTGTAAGCTTCATGCGATTGTTGCAGCTTTACACCCCCTACCCCTACCCCTACCCCTACCCCCATCCCTCCCCCCGCCGCTAGCCGTTGATTGCACACCTGGGGAGACTTAGCGCCGATAACACTCAGCAAGGGCCGGGGTCACTTTGGGTCGCTCTCAGCTTTTCTCGTGTTGTAATGACGTGAAACAGTGTGTATCTCAACTGGCCGCCGACACAGTCCGTATCAAAAGCGTAATGACAGAACTGGGGAGTCGGGTTTCAGGGGCGGGATGTTGAGGGTGCTGGGGTAAGCTCGACCCCTATCTCTGACGTTCATCAGCTTGACACTATGGGAAGGATTCGGCAGTTGATAATCGCGAGACCTCGTGGTCCCCGACTTGGGATGAGGAAAGTGAGGGACCCCTTGTGGAAATACCGTCTTATGTTGATAATAAATACGTATTTTGATACTGTCGACTTTGCGATCTCGTCTTATCGCTTGTATATGCTTAGAAGTTATGATTGCATCGGCGGCGTCGAATGCCTCCTAACAGCATCTTCCGCTAATGGTGTACTTTTGTCTATTGAGGAAACTCGCGCCCGAACCCAGAGTCAGAGGGGGTGCATAGTGATATACGTTGTGTATCATATCTGCTTCTATGGTTTACATAATATGTACAGCGGGCGTAGGGGGGTGAAAATTGTAGAGGGGGAGGGGACTGTGGTATCATCTGCCGCTATTGACAGCTTTACCCGCTCTCTCGCGCTGCCTTCACAGTCCATCCCTCCATCTGAAGCCTCCCACCACCACCGCCTCCCTATTTATGGCACAACCCTTCCCCGACCCTTCCCCCACCCTGCCCCACCTACACCTGTCGTCGTTCCTGCCCCATCCCGCCATATGTAACCAAAGATATATTTTTTTTAATAAGATAACTTTATTTCTGGGACTAAATGTTAGTGTACGTGTATTTTCAACACTGTCGGTAGAGCCTACTACCCACTGGGAGTGGGGTTGTGTGTATGTGTGTGTGTGTGTGTGTGGGGGGGGGGGGGGGGGGGGGAATCCCCGGTTACTATAATATGTTCATTTCAGGGGTCATACGCCTCATTGCTTGCTACAGTTTTACATACCAAGTGAAGAACGCTCATCTCAATAAGCTGTCAAGAAAAAACTCAAATATTTGATATTCTGATAAGCACATTATCGTATGTCAAGAACCGTCGGGAAGTATCGGCGGAATTTGGAAACACTGCGCATGCCTGGTACAGCATGCGCATACGATGCCACTTCCGTGTGTAGTATTTAAATTTACGTTTTACGGGGTTTTTTTTTAAAGGTTATCGAGAAATGTATTGGTTAATGATATATATAATATAATACCTTCAATGGTAAATTAGGAAATAAATTACAATTGGATACAGAATTCGTGCCCTCTGGCCCGGTTATCGTTTGAAACATCCGTTCACAACGAGGTAAATGTGGTTTTACGCTGCTACAACGAATTTATCTTGCCGACATGTTTTAATCTGCCATTATAAAATAATTAAAACAAATTCAAATTTGATACAAAATAGCTGTTCGTTTGAACTCAGGTTAACATGTGCTATGTCACGTGACTTTCATTGTCTCGGGGGGAAAAAACGTGCGGCTTTTATTATCCCGTTCAGAAATCCACGTGCAGCCTGTTTTCTTCGTGGCGGGATATAAGGAATTTATTCTTCCGCTGAGAAATGTATTTCCCTCCTAGGCGTGATACATAGTATTTTATCAAGATCACGTGAATCAATCAGATCCCGTCATTCTGACTTGGCGGTATGATAAGACTCTTTATGGACGGAGTGAAATAACCACTATAGTTTAGGCCCAGGAGCGAAGGGTGGTAATAAAAGTGGATTAACTGTGGGTTAATGATCCAAGAAGTTCCTGGGTCACGCTATTGTGAGCTAACTGCCCCGAGGATTCGTCTTGATGTCTACATTAGCACTTGCCGATTGTTTAACATTCATTCAAAACGCATTATGGAAGAATAAATTTGTATTTGATATGTGCAGCGGTTATTTTATGGTGAAATATGAAATTTGTATAATCAGTGTTTCAGTTACGTTGATCGCTCCTTGAAATATTGAATTTTGTTTAATAAGGAGGAAAAATAGTTACTATTATATATTTCTGTTCGAAATGAATGTTATCGCCTAGACTAGAACACCTAGTTTTAATTTTCCTTAACCATAATAAAGTAATTCAAGTGGTTTTCGGTAGTCTCTGAAGTTGACGTGAGAAGGACGCATTGAACATTCCGTATCAACAGTCGGATTATTTCAGTTGATTCCGTCATACTGAAATTTCCCAAAGTGTTCCGAGTGCTGCACTGAACGTTTTGTCTCATTTCTTCTATCATTCAAGATTCCGCAATTCCTTGAATAAACACCTGGTTGTGCGTACAGTGGTGATTAAGGGTTAATCTCTGCACAACATTGCAACACAAAAATAAATCAACACGGGTGAAAATCTGTTTTTAGTTTTGTTTAACCGTGTCGAAATCATGTAACGGAGACCTGCGTAGAAAAAGACTCTGGGTGTTTATCAAGGACTTGCGAGAAATTTGAAATACAGGGGATATGCAATTCTTTTATGAATATTACCATCTTGTATTAAGTTATTTATTTGGTTAATGGCAATCAGTTATATTTGCTAGTAATGTACCATTCATTCATACGGTGTACATTATAATCATGATCATTTGATCATTACTTGATCATCATTTGATCGCCATTTGATCATCACTTGATCATCATTTGATCTTCATTTGATCATCACATGGTCATCACTTGATCATCATTTGATCTTCATTTGATCATCACATGGTCATCACTTGATCATCACTTGATCATCATTTGATCATCACTTGATCATTTGATCATCATTTGATCGTCACATGGTCATCGCCTGATCATCATTTGATCATCACTTGATCATCATTTGATCATCACTGAAGTGTTCCATGCGCGGTTCATCACAGGCTGCAGAGTAGAGGAGAATGTGATTAAAGGAATTTGCCTTTGTCAAAATCATAAAATTCAAAATGAATCCTGTATGTATAGTTTGAAAAGTCATGCTCTAAACACGAACATGCGATACAGTTGTGGTTTTTTATTTTTTTAAAATAACAATTTTATAAGAAATTTTTTTGTGATAGTAACAGTGCTGGATAGAAAGGCAGAGAAAACTGGGCATGTATATATAACATTTTTTTCTTCATTAATTTTATTGGTTATTTGTGTATGTAATTATATCGTTGTTACAATGTGGAATATTGTACGAGAGTTCATGAAATGCTCTCAGTATGTTGCATATTGCATTTGTCTGTGATATACGCGTGTTGACTGGTGACTGGGGGGAGTGTACATTTCACAACAGAGGTGGCGAAACAACATCACTGCAACTATATATAGGGATTCCTGACCGACACTAACGGGTTGACTACTCAGGTCACGTGGCATAGGTGATCAGGCGTTATCATAATGGCAACAGAAGTAGGACATCAATACAAGAACAGCCAATTATGATTTATTATCTTTTCAATTCTTCTTACTTTATATTTTATATTTCTTGTTTTGTAAAATAAACAACGAATCTGACGCTACTGAATTCCATCTAAAATAATTGAAGTCTTGTTCTTAACGCACACCTGAAAGAGTCGATTTGTCCCTTACACCATTCAACACTGGGGACCGAACCACCTTGTACTTGTTGTTGTTGTTGCGTTATGATGATTATGTTGTTGTGGTATACGGATATTCCTTTAACGTAACGTACTTTGTCTGTCGGTCGGGTAAGGTATTGTAATTACACATGGACATATGGACATTTGGCCTCACGTTATGATGCCGTGTTCCAGCTTTTCGACTCGCCTCCAAGGATCTTAATTCGCTGTCTTGCATCGTTTGTGTTTTGTGTGATGTTATGGTCTGGCATACAATGCCGGCGTCAAAACGAGAATTTTCCTTTTTTTTGATGTTATTAAATGATTGTTGTATTGATTATGTTATGGTATGAAAGGTCACGTGAATATATTTACTTGTCTTTGTTGTTTATGAAAGGTCAGGTGACTACATAATGTACTTTTCTATTTAATTTTTAGATACTTTGTGCCTGGAGTAACCTAACTGTACATGTATTGAAAGGTATTGCATTGCAAACAAATGGCAATATTAGAATATTGCAAAACAATTGTTTATTCTATTGGAATTGATATGACCCCTGTTCGAGAAGCCTATTTATGAAAACAATGAATAACCTGTTCAGATTAACCAGGTTGAACTGTTCACTAAATATATATTAGTTTTGACAACAGATTGTGTTGGACAGGGTATGCTGGTATAACAAACACTGTGTAATCGGGACATGTTTACCGTTTGTTTAAATACCACCAGTACGCGTGAGTACTGTACTTTTTTGACCGTGATTGTAATACGAGCTGGGGCTCAAAACCACATCTGTCAACCATCCACAGTCGTTACATGCTCCTAATGGCTGGCTGAAGTAAATGTATATACACGATACACGAGAGTTATGTAAACGGGTCGCACCCGTACGGCGGGCAGACACATGTGTATGACTAGCAAGTGTGATTATTGCCAGTCAGGATTCAGAGGCGGGTTGAGGTGGGGCGACTTGAGTCAGCTGGATGCGAGCGTGCTCAACTCCACCCTCACGTCACTCACTCAAATCTGTGTGCCATATGGGTAAACTTGTGAAGTGTACCGGGTCGTATTTGAGGTATTGAATGTACATATTGGAATGAAATATAATTTATTTTTGGCAACAATATAAATAACTTGGCACATGAAATAATGTATTTGTTGAAACAAGACGTATAAGGCTGTGCTGTTTGTTCCGTGTTGTTGGTTGTAAATATCGCAGCCGTTTCTTGTAACACGAACAATGAATAAACATGTGAACACTCCCTATGCATTTCATTTTATATCGTCTTCTTGAAGAGTTTATTGATGTAATTATAAACATATGTATTATATATGTAATGTTGATTTATGTATATTGTGAGACTTGTGTGCTCCAGCACGCACAACATGCCACGCTTATTCTCATACTACACTATGCTCATGCGAGACTTATTCTCATACTACGCTTATTCGCATACTGCACTGATTCTCATACAACACTTATTCGCATACTACATTATGCTCATGCGAGACTTATTCTCATTATCCCCCGCCGCGCGAAAGCGCGAAGCGGGGGATATAGTATTCACGACCGTCCGTACGTACGTCCGTCCGTACGTCCGTCCGTCCGTACGTCCCACCTGTTTGTTGCCGCGATATCTCAAGAACTAAACACTGGATTGTCTTCATATTTGGAACTATGGTGTATATACAGACTCCGCAGACACCAGTCGGTTTTGGTGACCTTGACCCCATTTTCAAGGTCACAGCAGGCAAATCTGCTTTTGGAGTTGGAAAACGGTGTTGCCGCGATATCTCAAGAACTAAACACTGGATTGTCTTCATATTTGGAACTATGGTGTATATACAGACTCCGCAGACACCAGTCGGTTTTGGTGACCTTGATCCCATTTTCAAGGTCACAGCAGACAAATCTGCTTTTAGAGTTGGAAAACGGTGTTGCCGCGATATCTCAAGAACTAAACACTGGATTGTCTTCATATTTGGAACTATGGTGTATATACAGACTCCGCAGACACCAGTCGGTTTTGGTGACCTTGATCCCATTTTCAAGGTCACAGCAGACAAATCTGCTTTTAGAGTTGGAAAACGGTGTTGCCGCGATATCTCAAGAACTAAACACTGGATTGTCTTCATATTTGGAACTATGGTGTATATACAGACTCCGCAGACACCAGTCGGTTTTGGTGACCTTGATCCCATTTTAAAGGTCACAGCAGGCAAATCTGCTTTTGGAGTTGGAAAACGGTGTTGCCGCGATATCTCAAGAACTGTACACTGGATTGTCTTCATATTTGGAACTATGGTGTATATACAGACACCGCAGACACCAGTCGGTTTTGGT